GGCGGGCGCTGAGCCGGTCAAGCAGTGCAGCCCCTGCTCGGCCGCGGCTCAGAGCTCGTCGGGCGCCGCCCTACCCTACGGCTACTTCGGCAGCGGTTACTACCCTTGCGCCCGCATGGGCCACCACCCCAACGCGCTCAAGTCGTGCGCCGCCGCCGCCGCCGCCGCGCAGCCCGCCTCGGCCGCCGCCGCCGCCGCCGCCGCCGCCGCCTTCGCGGACAAGTACATGGACACAGCGGCCGGCCCCGCGGCGGCGGCGGCCGAGGAGTTCAGCTCCCGCGCCAAGGAGTTCGCCTTCTACCACCAGGGCTACGCAGCTGGGCCCTACCACCATCACCAGCCCGTGCCCGGCTACCTGGATATGCCCGTGGTGCCGGGCCTCGGGGGCCCCGGGGAGCCGCGCCACGAGCCGCTGGGGCTGCCCATGGAGAGCTACCAGCCCTGGGCTTTGCCCAACGGCTGGAATGGTCAGGTGTACTGCCCCAAAGAGCAAGGCCAGCCTCCCCATCTCTGGAAGTCCACTCTGCCCGGTAAATGACGTCCCTCTCCCTGCTCCCGCGGCTCCGCTCCGCTCTCCGGGATGGTGCCTCTGCTTGGCCCTCTCCCGCTCCTGGCCCTTCCCCAGCTCCCGTCGGCGCACCTCGGGAGCTAGCCGAGCCTTCTCGTCCTCTCTGCGCTCCCAGTCACCTTCTGTACCGCATCTCTGCTGCAGCCCCTGCGCTTTTGCTTCCCACTTACCCTTTGAGCCTGCCACCCTGCGAGTGGGGGTGGGTTAGGGGTGCCTAAGCAGTAACTGAGAGAACGCTTGCTTGGTCGACTCTGCTGTGCCCCAGCCTCCTCCTTCTGGAGCCCTTCTCCTCCAAAGGGTGCTTCTCAGAGAACTCTGGGGAAATCGTAGAGTCATCCCTCAGCCTCCAGACCATCCCCAACCTCCAATTTCTCTCCTCGCTTTCTCCCAATAGACTGCAGTCAAGAGCTGCCCGTTTTCACATAGGCCAGAGAACTAGACTGGAAGAAAGCTGGGGAAGGGGTAGGTGATGTGGCAGCTGAGAGTCTGTTGTCCCCAGCTACTGGACAGTCCCCCCAAGGTGGGCACCAGTTGCAGAGCTTAGACACTCCTTGAGCGAGGATGGGCGTGAGCATCTCTCATCCTTCGGGTAGCCAACCCCGGCTGATTTTCCTTGAGGGGAAAAAGGAACGGTTTGACCCCGGATTGATCCTTCCTCCTGTAAGACGAAGATCCCGGGTCCAAAGGTGGCAAAGATAGAAGTGGGCTGGGCAGGCGTGAGGATGCTGGAGGTCTGGGAGTGGGGCTGTCGCTCGTGCCAACCCCGGGCACAGCGGACTTGCTCGCTGGGTGTGTTTAACTCGCCTTCTTTCTCTTTCTCTCTCCCTGCTGTATAGATGTTGTCTCACATCCTTCGGATGCTAACTCCTACCGAAGGGGAAGGAAGAAACGGGTGCCTTACACCAAGGTCCAATTAAAAGAACTCGAAAGGGAATATGCTACAAATAAGTTCATTACTAAGGACAAACGGAGGAGGATATCGGCCACGACGAATCTATCCGAGCGACAGGTCACCATCTGGTTCCAAAACAGGAGGGTCAAAGAGAAAAAAGTCATCAACAAACTCAAGACGACAAGTTAATGGATTTTTTTTTTTTAATCGAGAGAAGAGGCTACTTTTCTGCGGAAAGTTGCCGAACTCGTTGCCTTGCCCACATTCAGATAATAATAATCAATAATAAGGAAAACGATCACAGGAGAGACAGCGGCCCTCTTCTTTCCTAAAGAGATAGCTGTGTCTTTGACGGAACCTCTAATGTTTTGTTTTGTTTTTTAAAAAACAAAAACAAAAACAAAAAACCTTGCGATAAGAAACGGTTAAGACTTCACAGTTCTCCTGAAAGCCCAAGCTGACTGACTGTAAATGCCCAACTCTAGAACCCAAACGCCAACCCCCAAATACGCAATTTCAGATAAGTTACGCATTTACTGAAATCCTGTAAGTATTTATGTGACCTTTGCATTTTAGGACGCTCTCTTAAACGGTTAGAAAATGAAAGCTGGTGAAATTCACGAGGTCATGGTCAACATCTGCCTTTATTAAAAAAAAAAAAAAGTTCCCCCTACGTTTGCGATCCCAGTGTATGTGGGATGGCTGCTCAGGTAACTAACTCCGAGTGAAAATGTCCACTTGCTGGATGGTAAAGCTAACGCATTTATTTTATTTTTTATGTATAGACAGAGAGGAAAGAAGGTACTGGAATCCTGAGGGCAGAAATATCAAGAGAGATGGGGAGAGAACAGGGAAAGAGGCAGCATTGGGGAAGGAAGATTTCTAGTATGGGTGGTGAAGAAGCCAAGCCAAGCTCTGGAGGATAGGAAGCAAATGTCTGCTTAGAAAAAACCTTAGAAGAGTTTTTAATTGCTGCTAATAAGCAGATATCGTGGCATTTGGACTGTATTTCCCGCCCCTCCAAAACTATTGATTTTCCAAAGGACTCCACATCTTTTAATCCGCCTTTGCTCTCCCAAGACACCTTCTAGCCTAATCCTGTAACGACCACCAAAACAACATCACAATTCGAGAAAAAAAAAACAACCCTTCTAACTCTTGTCAGACCACGGATAGAGTACTGGTTAGAATTGGCCTTTTCTATTCGATGAAGCTTTTTTTCCGGAGGAAAAAAAAAATGGGGGCTAGAAAACTCAAAGCCGAAATCCATTCTTGCCCCCCAGAAATATTTTGATTTCTATAGCCTATATTTTGATCATTTAAGTAATTAGTTTTTTTTTTTCCTTGTTTATCATCTGTTATGAGACCGCATTAGGCAGTGTTAGGGATTCGTCTTACAGCACCTTTTTAATCAATCAGTTATTTCAACCAGCACGTTAGACTTGTTCTTATTCACTATTAAAAAAAAAAAATGCTATCTTGTAAATAAAGACATTCAGCGCACTGTGAACGATGTATCTGTGCACCCTCATTTTTTTATATTTCTACTGAAAATGAAAAAAATCTAAGACATGTAGATAGTGATCTAGTGATGTTTATTCTGTTAATAAAATAGTCACTGCCATACAATCTCAAGGAAATACTGTTTATTTTCCTACCCTGGACATGCGCTACTCGGAGAGTGAAGACCCAGCTTTATCTCATCTTTTAAAGCTAGGACCCTTCTTTTCTATTCTCAATCCAGCGTTAGCAATTCTTTCTATAAATTTTTGAGCAAAGGGCAAAATTTCCCTGTCTCTAGATTCAGTCTGACGATAAGTGCTTAGGAGAAGGTTAAAAAATGTCAAGTATTTTGAAGGGGGGGAAGAGAAGAAAAGAAGAAAAAAAAGAAAGGAGGAAGGAAGGAAGGAAGGAAAGGAAAAGACAGTCTAAATTCTCAGGCTTTCAGTGGAAAATGAGAACCAGTTGTGAGTATCAGAAATGCCAAGGCCGCCGTATTTTAAGGTCTTTTGATAGGTCTGGAAGTGTCTAAAAGTGCAGGTTTTGATATTTGTTGCAATGACAAGCCTAAGAAAGGCCCTAAACCTTGACCTTGACAAAAAAAGACAATTTGTGACCTTGACTTTTGACAGCTCATGAATCGGCCTCTTTGGGATTGGTGGATCAAGGGCGCCACCTGGTGTTTCAGTGAATTGTTGTCATTCTCCTTGTCTTAATAGAGTCGAAAGCTGTTCGGGGGGGTGGGGGGAGAGGGGATGGAGAGGCGATCAATTCTAAGGCCTCTTCTAAGGCAAATCTGTTCTTTTCGGGGGGACTTTGGGGGTGTTGGCTGCAGAAGAACAAATGTAAATAAGTGCAATTAAATAGGTTTGTGAATACTTGACATTTGGATGGATACATCAAAAATTTTAAGAGAGCTATGTACCACCAGGCTTGGAAATATTTTGTAAATGTTGTGTCCAGTTAAAATGTTGTAGGCCATTGTTGGCAATGTGTAATGATTTATGAAGTTAAGAGAATCATCTCTGTACTCCTCTGCTTTAGGTGACATAGAATCTCCTTTAAAAATTCTAATAATAATGGTCAGTCTAGTTCATTTTAATAATGGGTCTTTTCTGCTGTGTCCAAAGTACATGGATGCATTTTCAAAGCTGAATATGTTGGTTATAGTACAGGAGGCCTCCCTAAATTACCTTCCTTTCCTTCCTGTGGACTCCTAAGGTGGTCTACCACCCTAATTAGAATTATTGGGGAGCCTTTACGGCAAATAAAAAAAGGTTTTAGATGCCTTGCTAACTACAGACTTCTAGAATTACATTTCAGAAATTCAAAGAACCCTACCTCTTTAAAGGTCAATATGGAGACCCTTCTAGATTTCAGTGCTACAGATCTGACCCTAAGAGTCATTCATAGGGGAAGTCCATTGGTGGCCCAGAAATTGAGTATTATTTTGCTAGCATACAGTCATGAGTTGAAAGCTTGTGAGATTTGCCTGTTGTATTTTCAGAAAGAAGATATATATTTACTATATAAACAGATATAATGTTTTTATATATGAATACACTTATATGTCCATAGAGGTGTTGTGTGCATGTTTTAGATATGTACATTCGGTAATGTGTGTACACACACATAGGACTTTATGTTCAGGCTTTTGTTGGAAGGTTTGACTTTCTGTTTATATTGGAAATAGGACCTCACTAATGATAGGCTGAAGACTACTTTATCATCGCATGGAATAATACAGTCATGTTCAGTCTTGAGCGACACAAACACACGCATAAACAACCCAAGAAACATCTCCCTCTGTTGTTTCTAGCACCTCAAAAAAGCTGGGCCTTTTTCTTTAAGATGCATAATTATACAGAGAAAGTGAAAGTATTTCTTATAACCCAGCCACCTTAAAAATTATTACCAGAGTACATCCAGAAAATGTAATCCTACTCTGGATATAAGGATTTTAAAGTTGTGTTTTGTTTTGTTTTTTTTTTTTGAGACAAATGACTATAACCTACCTCAGCTCTCTCCATATAAAATACACACTCACACATAAACACACCCCCAGTGTGTTTCCCAATGTAGCTGCACCTCAAGGGCGTCATAGGTTGGCTATAGACTCTTTGGGAAGGCCACAGAGCCTCTCTTATTCCTTTCCCATGTTTGTTTACTTGTAGACACGTAGTCAGGGAAACTTCTGTTGGTGCATGGGTATTAATTTCTAGAGAATGGAGTAATTTACTAATTATCCTGGCTTGAAAGGCTTGCAGGCAGCAAGCTGGGTGGCCTCAGGGGCTCAGACTTCGAAGGCCTGACACTAGCACCCAGCACCAGCTACTTCCATCTTGTTTTCTAGACGGGTCCCACAAGAAGACATGTAACCAGATTAGTTAGGGGAATGGAGGGATTGGAGAGGAGGCAGATTTTTATGGTTCTAGAGATGCTGCCATGATGTTGATGGCGTTCCTTCACTCCTCTCTTATTTAAAATGTTCGTTAATCTGGTAGATGATGATAGTAGCTGCCATGGCTTGTGGAGCCCTGACACAGACCAACAGAGCAGAGAGAGCTGGGTAATGCCCAGGCAGTTCTCGTCTTCTCCTTTTCCTTCTTCTCCTTCTTCTTCTCCTCCTCCTCCTCCTTCTTCTTCCGCTTCTTCTTTTCCTTCTCCTCCTCCTCATTTCCCTTTCCTCCTCCTCTTTATTCTCCTCCTCTTCTTTATTCTCCTCCTCCCTTTCACTTTCTTCCTCCTCTTTTTACCTCCTCTCCTTCTCTCTCTCTCTGCTTGCCCCCCCCTTCTCTTCCTCCCTCCTTCATTCCCCTGAAGCCTCCTAAAAAGCAAAGCAGGAGGGCTTTGGGTGCAGCTCGAAAACATTCATGAAATTGACTGACTCTCGACTTGGGCTAGCCCTGCTGCGACCCGGCCGGAAAAGACTTGTAGGCTAAAAAAACCCAAACCCAACCGTGTATACACCCAGAAGAGACAGGCAGATCACCAGTGATTAACGCTAGGCACGTTAGCCTTCTTTATTGCATCAGGGTTTTTTATGTAATAGAGTTTATTAAAGGCATTTCACAGAGAGAATTTGTAACACGTCGCAATGTGCATTCCACTGCTGTTTACGCACAGTCTGGAGTCTTTAAATAGACCTATTTTAAATTGCAAAGCACATACGTACACAAAAAAAATGTGAAATGGGACCCGTTGGGGAAAACACACACACACACACACACACACCCCTAAAATTCAGTCTTTTCTTAAAAAAAAACAAAACCAAAAAACCCTGAAGTGCAGAAATTCAACTCAGAGGGTCCCCTAGAGGAGGAAGGGGAAGACTTTCTCAACAGTGAGATAGGCTGAGTGCTTCTGCAGACTTTCGGAACAGTCGATGTGTTCATATTTGCTGGTGTTTTCTGGAACCGGTCTCTTCAGCCCCTTTCTTTCCACGGTTTCCCGGCTGGTCTGGAGCACACAAGGTCTTTAGATCCCATTCCGACTCCTGGAGCTGGCCGCTCTAGGGAGTCTTCCCCTCCCTCCCTCCCTCCCTCCCGGACCTCGAAGATGGAGACTAAGACCCGGTCCCGCCATTGATTTATGCGCATTCCTTTAAATTTGATCGAATGCGTGTCAACAGCCCGGGACCTGGCGGAGAAGCCGAGAAATGCCCAGCCAGTCGCTCACGTCCCATTTTT